TTTATTTATTTATTTATTTATTTATTTATTTATTTATAGTTTTTTAATCAAAATGTGTATATCTATATTACTTAATTTCTTTGATTTCTTTCGTTCTTTTTATTTTTTTTTGGGGGGGGTGGCATAATGTCAATCGGCGACTGGGTGGTGTAGCGGTTTGGCGCTTCGCTGTCTCAAACAGAGGACACGAGTTCGATTCCTGTGAGTGGAGAACATTTTTAATTGAGTATCTTGGTCTTTGTAGTAGGACTTTACACCATTCTCCTTGGACTTTGATGGCCGCGGTACGCCTGGTTCAAGCAGCCCGCCTCCTAGATAGTTTAAATTATTGTGTTGATGGGCGCGGAACGCATCAACTGTTTTAGTTTGTTTTGCAGTTTCATTCTTTTTGCTCTGATTGAGGAGGAAGATAGGGAGGCAGAGGTCAGTACTGATGCGGAGAGGATGATGCTTTTGGGAATTTAAAAAAAAGGGAGGGGAAAATCTGGCATCCTTGCAGGAAAGAACAGAAGAACGTTCAACCAGACGTGTTCTGGCACAATCAGTGGGAAGACCTTCGGCGACATTTTGGAGAGAGCAACGGAGCATCAATGGACATGTCCGGAGTGCAGGGATGGTGCGTCCTGAAACAGTGAAACAATGAAACCATCTTTTTGCTTCCTTTATTTTATTCGGATACCCTTTTTTATGTTTTTGAGGTAAAAATAAGTTTTCCAATTCTTACTTTAGATTTGTAGATGTGTAGTATATTAATGACTGTAACAGTAACTTGACAACCGGCCGTTGCTGCTCGTGTTGAAATTGATGATAACGGTCGATAGTGCTTTAGGGCTAGACATAATACTGTACCGTGCGCCTGGTGCCCATTGGAACCATCAGGTCGGGTCGGGTCGGATCGGATCGGATCGGTTCGGTTTGCTAGTTATATTGAGGGCGCAAATCGGCTATCGACCCACAAACCGATCGCTCGACACACGCGTTTGTTTTCAGACAACGAGTCGGGCGATCGACCTGACCCGAGGACTAGATCTACACACTATGCCGACCCGATCCGATCCGATCCGATCTCATCCGCAAAGGGCACCCGGTATAACAACGTCGTTTTGTTGACCGCAGATTGCGTGACCTATCACCGTCTTTTGTTTGTCTCTCCGTGTGTGTTGATAAGGAAGAGCATTGTGGCAGGTCAAAGTTCACCTTGCCGTGGACGTGGTCAAATGACGAAGATAATGCTGGGAGGAGTTGGGTTTTTTTTGGGGGGTTTTTTTTTGGGGGGGGGGTGTTCAGAACCGTTAGGTAGCATTGCAGGCATGACTTCTGGTCTTGGCCCTCTGTCTGTCTGTCTGTCTGTCTGTCTGTCTGTCTGTCTGTCTGTCTGTCTCTCTCTCTCTCTCTCTCTCTCTCTCTCTCTCTCTCTCTCTCTCTCAGGACTCACGACTGTTAGGTTGAAGGTTCGAAACCAGGTCTTGGCCTCTAGCTATGTCCTATCTTTCTCTTATCCCTCACTCCCCCCCCCTAAACCCGCCCTCGCCTACCCTTTCTCCCCCTCTCTCGGTCTCTCTCGGTCTCTCTCTCTCTCTGTCTCTCTCTCTCTCTCTCTCTCTCTCTCTCTCTCTCTCACACTCACTCACTCACACACATACACACTCGCACACACACACACACACACACACACACACACACACACACACACACACACACACACACACACACACACACACACA